GTTGGATGATAATGTATACAGTATGCATGTCCCTTTTAAGCCAAGATCTTTTATATCCCATCCTATGTAAGATAAGAACTTCCATGTAACAAAGGACTCCATACGCCTGGTAATAAATTATGAGATGTGCTTGGGATAGCCACCAATTATAAAAACTCATTCTACCATTAAAAATGGATATATAACCTTGATAGAATTAAATAATCATAAATTAACAAAACTTATCATATTACCTCGTATCTGTGGTGCCCAGTGATTATAAAATGATAAAATTGATTTTATTATTTAATGTTAAATTCAAGTGCTACTAATTATTATTTTACCTCGTATCTGTTCATGCCGATGCATGCCTTTACGTTGTGTGCCATGCCATGTATACCCTTTGCTGTCGAGTTAATTGCCTTTGTGGAGCTCCCTTCTTTGCTATACTTAAGGCTCAACCTCTTGGTCTCATCAATGCTCACAAAGTTACGGGACCAGAGCATGTGTGGGTGTCCCATTGATGCTTGAATCCACGAACATTAGCCCCTTACCCGGTGTGCCTTCTCGTATTGTTGCTCTTCATAATGGCTCGTCATGACATTGATGGTCTTCCTTTTTGGGCAATCTCTCATCTAATGTGGTCCGTGACAGTTGGTATCAGAGTTAAGGTCATGAGTCGTCACACCTTGTGTAAAGCAAGCTATGGCGGAACACTCGAACATGACTAACGTCCAGGAGGAAGAGCTGCATGGAAGGGAGGAAAATCGCTCTCCAATTGGATCGAGGATGAGGGCTAAGTCGAAGGACATCGTTGCGGACTTAGAGGCACGCTTGACAAACATGGAGGAGTCAACGTGAAGGGACAGCTTAAGAATGCTCACCAGCGCATGGATGAGCTGGAGTCGGAGGACGTTGAGGTCCAGAATACTGTTAAAAGGTCACACAATACCCTAAATGGTGACTTTCGACAGAAACTCCAAGCATTTCGGGAACTCATGTTGGGCGAGTTTGCCCCGTAATAGTTAAACATTATTCTTCCTAAATGTTATTTTTCTTGTGTTTAATATTATGAATGGTTGCTTGGTGGAAAAAAAACAAAAAATCCGGATCAAGTATCAACAAATAAAGTTTCTTTTTCAATTCTGTCTCTTTATGGTCTAAGTGAGCCCTACAAAAAAAGTGATTGATTGTTCAGCTACTAAAAAAATAAGAAAGAGAAAGCTAAGTTGACACGGGGGACCATATTGTTTTGAATGTTTTCCGTATTTATGCCATTTTGCTAAGCAAAACTATTTATTTCTTTTGTTATGTTCTATTTTAGTGAATTATATTATAAAACAGAACATACAAAAGTCTCTTGTCCCTCTGTAGCAACACTATAATTGATGCCATGTGTGCAGTGTTAAGTTCATTTGGCATTTTCGAATAGGCAAACTTATAAATATCCAAACCCGACAATTTAACTGACCTTTAGAGAGAGAGTGAGAGAGAGAGACTCTAAACCAATTAAAAGGGCGGTTGAACTAATCAACCCTTCTCACATTTCATTGGTCAACAAGGTTTATCATCAAAAAAAAAAATTCCCACCATAATTATTATGCTTGCCCACACCCATTCATTATTTCGTTGAATTTCTTAGTTCACATTAATTTGTAGTCTTTTTATATATGTGGTTGTCATTTGTCACACATTGCACTTCACAAGATTACATTTTTTCTTTCATTTATATGTAATGTCGTATGAATGTTAAATGAGTCAAATAAGTTTTACTCAAATTAATTATCAAAAAAATTGATTATAAAATAGTAATATCAAGGTACGTGAGTATGTGACTACTGATATTATCTCGCATTTCAATTTAAAAAGATAGAAAGTTAAAAAATTTCAAAAGGAGTTAGTTGCATTTTGCGAAAACACTATGTGAGGAAAAATAGTAATATCAAGGTACGTGAGTATGTGACTACTGATATTATCTCGCATTTCAATTTAAAAAGATAGAAAGTTAAAAAATTTCAAAAAGAGTTAGTTGCATTTTGCGAAAATACTATGTGAGTATTATTCTATTTGGTTAGCAAGAAATTTGCAAGAGAATTATAGAAAATAACTTAAATAACCAAACTTCTAAACAGGACCTTAATGAAGGTGAAGTAGGCAAAGGTCAGGAAAATTGAATCTATGAAGGAAAATCGTTCACAGCTGCGCCACACAATTTATTTCCATCCAAACTTAACTCCACCCATTTGTTTTTTGTATTTCAAAATTACTTCCAATTGTATTATATAAACTCTAATTACAACTCTTCCTTTTTTTAATCGACTTCCAATTATATTAGTATGTATAATTTTTCTATATTTAATGTTAATTGTATATTAATTTTTTTTTCAACTTCTCCACTACATTGCACCAAGTGTGAACATCTAAATCATTGTGACGAGAGACAAAAAAAAAAAAAAAAAATTGTGTGAACATGAAAAAAAAAAAAAAAATCAACTAATTATTTAACATTACCTTGTAGAATTTTTGCTCAGTATCACTCCAGCCATCTCATTCTCATCTACTGTACTATCAAGATAAGGTGGTAGGACCCACAACACTTGCTTAAGCCACTAGGGATTTGAGTTGTGTGTCGAAAGCGGATCCCAAGGGCCATGGACAAAAATGTGAATAGATTATTTATTAATTTTTTTTTGAAGGAAAAAAAACCTCCGACTCACTAGTATTGAATGAACGGCAAAGTACAAAAAATCTCTTAATTTGTAGTCTTTTAATAAAAGAGTTAATATTTGGACTAAAATGACCTTTTATTTAAATCTTAATTCTTTTGAACTTCAAAATTTCATATCTCACAAACTACTGAAAGTTTATGAAATAAAGATTCCAGAAATATAAGATTTTTACAACAAACCTTCATAACTAGAGAGAAATGAAAAATCTAAAAATTTACTCCAATAATATTTAAATATAAAATGCTCGAGATATTTGCAAGAAAATTTTCAGAATTATTCATTTATATATAGAGCCAAATATATAAAAAAATTTAGTCCCAATAGAGATTGATTTCATGAGATATTATATATTGCGTCAAAGTATTTTCATTCTTTTATAGATTCACCATTTAAAAAATAAAATAAAAGTGAATATTCGGTTTCTATTGGAGCTAATTTTTTTTCATATGTTATGCTCCATATGAAAATGAATAATTCTGAATTTTTTTTTTGTAAATAACCCGAATATTTTATTAAATAAATAAATAAAATAAAATTGTTATAGTAAATTTTTAGATTGTCTATTTTTCTCTGGTTATGAAATTTTGTTAAGTTCGGAAAACTTAAGATTTAAATAAAAGGGCATTTTGATTCAAATATCAATTTTTTTACCCCCTAAATAGTTAAGTGGGTTTTTCGGTAAAGAATTAGACAAGGAGATTTATTAAAAATGATTATAAGTCGAGGGAGATTATTTGGTAAAAAATTAAATAAGAAAAAATTATTGAAAAAGATTACAAATCAAGGGCAATTTTTGTACTTTGCTTATAATCTTAGTTATCAATCAATTCAAAATGTGACATTGAAACAAATATTAAAAAAAAATTGAATAGTGCAACACCAATCAATTGTTTCACATCACAAGGTCCACAACTTGGGCCAACCGCACTCACAAATAGAACCACATTGACCATGATAGGTATTGCATTAATGCACACTCTTAGGAATGAATTAAATCTTTTATCTGGACTCAATATTTTTTATTTTTTTCTCTCGCTTGGCCGAAATAGAAAATCTCTTCGTAAATAAATAATAATAGACCTATGAAATTTTCTTTTGGCTATCTTGATAGATGTCAGACACATATAATGGGCACTTGTCATTCAATCAAAAAATTTATGTTTATAATTTCATGGCTCGAGCCATCCACGTGGGCACTTCTAAGTGCAAGACTTGGACTATTTGGTATACTGGATAAAAATTTATGGCCTAAAATCTTCTTAAGGTGTTGGAAGATAATGTGTACAGTATACATGCCCTTATAAGCCGAGATCTTTTATATCCTATCCTTTGTAAGTTAAGAACTTTCATGTAACAAAAGACTCGTATGCCTAGTAATAAATTATGAGACGGGTTCGTGATAGCCACCAATTATAAAAAGCCATTATACCATTAAAAATGGATATATAACATTGATAGAATCAAATAATTTCGAATTAACAAAACTCATCATGTTATCTCGTATATGTTCGTGCCCAGTGGTTATAAAATGTTAAAGTTGATTTTATTATTTAATGTTAAATTAAAGTGTTACTAAGTATTATTTTAAAATTACAAATTTACTTTTATGGGGTGCATTCTAATTGAAATTTAGTGTGTTTCTTAATTTATGCTTGTTTTCAATTGGAATCAACTCCAAGAAAATTAAATTTGTAATTTTAAAATAATAATTATAAATATTTTTAATTTAATATTAAATAATAAAATTAATTTTATCATTTTATATTCGAGTTAACACATATATAAACAATATAAATATATAGGGTAACATATTGGGTTAAGAGAGAGTTATTTGATTGTTTGTGGAGGGTATATGCATATTTTTAGTGTCAAAAAATAAAATGCGTATTTTTAATAAAGTGAGTTTTACCCCAAACAAAATAATAATAGTGGTAGGCGGAGGAGGTCGGTCCACATATAAAATTGGACTGTCTCAATTGGTTATAAAATTAGTGTGCCCCGAATAAACGCTGTCAACAGTTTCACACAGGCAAGGCCACGCATCCAACGCTACACCCACGCGGCTCGCGACGTCTTTTTTTGCGGCACAACACCACCACTCGCTCCACACTATCGTCATCTAAACCCTAGACATCATCAAACACCCCACACATCAAAGATACCCAATTATATCGCACGTTACAACACGCGCCTCACATAGAGCGTGAAAAACAAAAAAAGTAGCCGTTGTGTAACCTCCTCGTGCCCTTTTGCCGACACCTCATGTCTTACCAGTCTAATTAATCACACTGATCTCTCTCCCCCACACACACGCACACTCTTATAGAGAGAGTATTTGATACAAAGCCGGAACGTAAACATCATACCAAATCGAGACTCTCCAAATTTTCTTTTTAAGTTTTCTTTTCATCCAAACAACTTTAATTATTCTCTCTCTCCAAAAGTGATTACGGTTCGTTTTCTGGTTACGCGAAAGATCTTAAACATTATACCAAATCCAGACTTCCGAAAATTTCTTATTCTCTTTCCAAAAGAGACCCACTGTTCGTTTTTCTGGCTACGCAAAAGATCTTTGATTCTTATAACATAAGGCACGTGACAGTGTGTGTTTCGCTTTACCTCGCAATACCGTTCGGGAATGTTCTTGGCTTTGATTAAACCTTGAAGCAATCCAAACACTCTCAGATCTGCAACTCTGTTTCTTCTCTCTCTTCAATTTCGCGTTTTCACTTCTTTTGGGGTTTCGGACGTCCACAGTTGATCAGAGCTCATCAGCGAAATAACATAGAGAGTATGAAGTTCTTCAATTTCTCGTTTTTGATGTCCTTCCATGTTCTTCAGTTTAGGAAAATTTCTACTTTTATGAATGTAACTGAAGAGGCCTGTTAAATTTTCTCTGAGTTTCGTACCATAACATTAATTTTTTTTTTATTATTATTTTTTTATTTACTTTTATTATTATTATTATTATTATTATTATTATTTTTGAGAGTTGTTGAACGCATATCTTAGAGGAAGAGGCAAACTTTGTTGGGGAATGGACAAAATTAGTAAATTATGGTATTGTTTAGTTTTTGTGTAATAGTATTTTATCTAATTGTTTCTTTTGGTTGTTTGTTAAAGAATTTTGATTGATTTGTTAAAGGTTTTGATATATTGATTAATTTTGAATATTTGTCAAGGGTTTTGATATATTGATTATTGTTCAAAATTAGAAAAATTTTCCATACGCTTCTGAGGATTTCGTGATGATATGTGGGTGTTTGTGAAAAAAAGACACAAATGTAAAGTTAAGTTTGAGCTTTCATTTTGGGATAGTGATCTGATTCACGTGGTTCATATCATATATGAATTTGAAGTTTCGTTTTTGAGAAGATGTTGAGCAGTCTGTGTTTTTCTTTGGTTGGATGGACTGAGCATCTTTAGCTTCTTTATATAAATGTCCTTGTGTGCATACCATCTCACCTCTGCATGAAACTTTGCTCTTTTGACAGGGAATTTGACGGTTTTTATTTAAAGTGGCTAAATGGCCACACTGGGAGATATAGGGCTTTCAGCTGTTATTAATATTCTCACTGCAATAATTTTCTTAGTGGCATTTGCCATACTGCGGCTTCAACCTTTCAACGACAGGGTATATTTCCCAAAATGGTATCTTAAGGGTTTACGAAGCAGTCCGTCACGCTCTGGAACCTTTGTAAGCAAGTTTATCAATTTGGACTTCAAGTCGTATGCGAAGTTTCTGAATTGGATGCCAGCTGCACTGAAGATGCCAGAACTTGAGCTTATTGATCACGCAGGACTGGACTCTGCTGTTTATTTGCGAATTTACTTGCTAGGGTATGCTATCATAATTCTTAACATTTCTTTATTTAAATTATTTGCTTAGTAGCTTATATGCCAAAATGCCATTTGCTACCTGCAATGAGTAAATGATTTTCTGAATTCTCCATTGTTGCAAACAAATAGGGAGGAAAAAAAGAAAGAAAAGAAAAGAGAGAAATCCATTTGAGATGCTTGCTACAATCAATTGTATGGTCTGAAACTTCCTTTTCCTTTCTTTTGTTTACTCAATAATTAATTGAAGCATAACAAATAAGGTACTGGTTAATGAAAGTTTGAGATATGAGTAGTAATATATGAAGAAGCAAAGTTAAATATTTCCTGAAAAGCAATTCAACTTTTGTGCTTACAAATTATTCCTTGAATCAGTTGCAGACAGCCTTTTGAATTAACCTTATGTCACAAGCTATCCGTTTCTGTCCAAATTTTTACTACTCTAAGTGAATATAATTGTACAAGAGGAATGTGGCTGCATTAACTAAAGATGTAGAAATTCTCTGTGTAAAATATTCGGCCTCATATATTAACATTAACATCTTGTACAAGTATATATGGGAAAGAGGGAAAGCTATACAAGGAAAAGAATAAAAAATATTCCTACAAATCTTTCCTAATTTAAAACAATCAATCTATCCTAATTTACTACAATTAATCTGAATCAAATCCCTAAAATTAAGGGAAATAATATAGATCTTCCAACACTCCCCCTCAAGCTGGAGTATAGATGTCTTGAATGCCCAGCTTGTCAAGTGCCAAATTGAAAGTCATACTTGACACTCCCTTTGTCAAAAAATCTGCAAGCTGATGTTCTGTCTTCACAAACGGAGTGCAAATTAATCCACCCATCAACTTTTCCTTTATAAAGTGTCTATCCACTTCAACATGTTTAGTACGATCATGCTGAACTGGGTTGTGAGCAATGCTAATGGCAGCTTTGTTATCACAGAAAAGCTTCATTGGATCCCTATAATTAAAGCCCAGCTCCTTTAACAAAGCCTTCAGCCACAACATCTCGCATATACCATGAGCCATAGCTCTAAATTCTGATTCAGCACTGGATCTGGCCACAACAGATTGTTTCTTACTACGCCGCGTGACTAGATTCCCTCCCACAAAGGTGCAGTATCCTGAAGTTGATCTTCTATCTATTACACATCTTGCCCAATCAGCATCTGTATATCCTTCCACTTCGAGATGACCATGGTTGGAGAATAGCAGACCTTTCCCAGGAGCTGATTTTAAGTACCTGAGAATCCTGTGTACAGCCAACATGTGTGTTTCGTAAGGAGCATGCATGAACTGACTTACTGCACTCACTGCATAGGCTATGTCAAGGCGAGTATGTGCCAAATATATTAGCTTCCCAACCAACCTTTGGTATCTCTCTCTGTCTATAGGTGTATCATTTGTGCATTCACCTAACCTGTGATTTTGTTCAATTGGAGTATCAACAGGTTTGCAAGCCAACATTCCAGTATCAGCCAATAAGTAAGACATATTTTCGTTGGGAAACAAAGATCCCCTTCTTTGACCTAGCAACTTCAATACCCAAAAAGTATCGTAAAGACCCAAGGTCTTTGATCTCAAATTCTTTTGCCAGATATGCCTTCAGCTTACCCATCTCCTCACCATCACTACCAGTCACCACAATATCATCCACGTACACGATTAAGGCAGTAATCTTACCTCCAAGTGAATGTTTGAGAAAGAGAGAGTGATTCGATTGGCTCTGGTGGTATCCATATTTCTTCATGGCCTGAGTAAACTTTCCAAACCAAGCTTTAGGTGACTGCTTGAGTCCATACAAGGATTCTCGATCTGCATACCTTACCTCTTTTAGAGGAATTAACAAAGCCTGGAGGAAAGTCTATGTATACTTCTTCCTCTAAATCGCCGTGAGGAAATGCATTCTTCACATCAAACTGCTGAAGAGGCCACTCTAAATTTGCAGCCAAGGATAAGAGGACCCTTATTGTATTTATCTTCGTCATCGGTGCAAATGTTTCCTGATAGTCTATCCCATAGGTTTGGGTATAACCTTTAGCTACCAATCTTGCTTTGAACCTCTCCACTGAACCATCTACCTCAGGCTTCACTGTGAATACCCATTTGCAACCAACTGTCTTCTTTCCCTTTGGTAGTTCAGCAAGTTCCTATGTAGAATTTTTCTGTAAAGCTTCCATTTCTTCAATCATGGCAGCTTTCCACTTGGGGTTGTCAAGAGCTTCTTGTAACTTACTAGGGACTGACACGGATGATAACTGGTTTGTAAATATTTTATAAGATGAAGATAAACGATGTGAAGATACATAATGAGAGATGGGATATTTTCTTTGCCTGATTCTCAATAACTAATTCAGTAGCATCATGTGGTTAGTCAAGTTGATCAATAGGTAAATGATCTGACTCATTAGTAGAAGTATCAATAAAGAGTTTAGAGGAAGGAACTACCTTAGGATTACTAGTCACAGGAGCGCTTAATTGGTCATTGGGTTGATCAAGAGGTGGCTGATTTGTCTGTGTCTTCTCCCTTCTTGAGTATACAAATTTGTGTGGCTCAAGGAATTTCTTTGAAGTCGGTGCAAAATTTTCAGGAGATTCCTTCGAAGTCGATGCAGAAGTTTCAATAGATGATGATACATTGGTTAATGGTAGTGGCAACACCTCCCAAGACTTCTTCATTTCCCAAATTCTCCCCCTGAAGAGAAGCATTTGAACCTCCCCCTGAATAGTAAGCCTGATTTTCAACAAAAGTAACGTCCATTAAAACAATTATCTTTTGCTGAAGGAGGGTGATAGCATTTGTATCCCTTTTGTGTGGCTGAATACCGTAAGAAAATACACTTGAGTGCTCTCGGATCCAGCTTACTCCGGTGTTGTTTGTGGATATGAGTATAACAAACACAGCCAAACACTTTGGGTGGAATGTGAAGAAGAGTTGGAATAGCGTGTGTTTTGGATAATGTCTGAAGAGGAGTTTGAAACTGAAGGACTTTTGAAGGCATTCTATTAATGAGATGTGCTGCAGTAAGGACAGCATCTCCCCAGAAAGTTTTAGGAACGTCCATAGCAAAGAGTAATGACCTAGCAACTCTAAGAGATGGCGATTCTTACGCTATGCTACTCCATTCTGCTGGGGTGATACACACGAAGTTTGATGAATGATGCCATGAGCCTGAAAATAGACACTAAGCCCTCTCTTAAAATACTCCCCTCCATTATCTGATCGTATAACCTGTACTTTCGTGTTAAACTAAGTCAAAACCATTTGGTGAAAGGATTGGAGGGTGGCAAAAACATCACTTTTTTTCTTTCAACAAATAGATCCATGAAACACGAGTGCAATCATCAATAAAGAAAACAAACCATTTAGAACCTAAATGATTAGGAGCACGGGATGGCCCCCACACATCACTGTGAACAATTGAGAAAGGCACAAAATTTTTATTAAAACTTGAAGGAAAAGAAGTGCGATGGTGTTTGTCTAAGACACAACTATCACAATGAAAATTAGAAACATCAATTCTGGAGAATAAAGATGGAAACAACTTATGCAAAGGGTGTCCTAATCTTTTGTGCCATAGCCAAATCTGCTCTTCTGATGTTGACCTGCCAACTATTTGATTTGCTTTTCCATTCGAAGCCCAGTTCATATCCAAGTAGTACAAACCACCTCTTTCTTTACCAAGACCAATCTTCGCTCCCGTAAGAAGGTCCTGAAAGACACAATGAGTATCAAAGAATGTTACGGAACATTTAAGAGCCTTAGTAATTTGACTAATGGACAATAGGTTATCAGATAAACATGGAACATGTAAGACACTAGAAAGAGACATCGAAGAAGTAATTGGAATGGAACCTTCCCCAGACACAATAGAAGTAGATCCATTTGCTGTTTTAACACTCTTTGTACTAGGATGAGTGTTATAAGAAGAAAAAAATCTAGATTCACGTGTCATATGATCAGTAGTACCTGAATCAATAATCCAAGATGACTCAACACGACCATAAGTGTTCAACGCTAATCCAAAGTTACCTATATTGGCTGAGTTACATGAAGCCTCTTTTGAGGATAGCTTCTGAGCATACTCTTGCATCATTTTATCTACCTGAGCTTGAGAATATTGTGGCTGGGCTGCAAAAGAAGATTGTGCATCAGACTGCACATCAAAGGTTGTATGATGTGCTCTAGAATTTGAGTTATCCCCCTTGTTTCCACCTTTCTTACGGAACCAGTCTGGATAACCTTTCAGCTTAAAACAAGTCTCTCGAGTATGTCCAGCCTTATTACAGTGTGTACAGAAAAAAGACTCTTTGTTCTCAGTTTTCCTCGAGAAAGAGGTAACTAGTGTAGTTGGGGTCCGCATAGTAGCCAAGGCTGAACTCTCCTGTGAAACACCTGTAAGCATGGTGGCCTGATGGAGCTCCTCACGTCGAACATAGGCATATGCACCGCGAAGATTAGGAAGAGGATCATGCCCTAAAACCTGTACTCTGATCTGATCAATCCCTGGGTCGAGGCCAGCTAGGAAATTGTAGACCCTTTCATTCTCAATTCTCTTCTTTAGCTTTGTTGTATCCCCAACACACTCCATATCACATGGCTGGAGAAAATCCAGCTCCTGCCAAATGGCCTGCAAAGCAGAAAAATAGCTAGCCAATGTCTTCCCTTACTGTCGAGTCTCATTTGCCCTGTGCGTTCATAAATCTGAGAAGCATCACTACCATCAAAATAGGTTTGAGCCACGGCTTCCCAAATAGCATGAGCTGGGGGAAGTCAAAGAAAACTGGCGCTAATATCCGGAGTCATTGAGTTAAAAGAAGCCATGACATCAACATGGCATTCTCCTCCAAGCAAGTAGAGAAGGAAGTTCTAGTATCCGCTGGCTGTTTCTTCACTCCAGTCAAGTACCCCAACTTTCCCTTTCCTGTGATGTACAACTTCACAAACTGGGACTGGGCAGAATAATTTGTCCCATCAAATTTGTAAAAAGTCATCTGCACACTCATGTTGTCAAGTTGATTTGTCACAATCGAAGGAATGGGCGGTGCTGTACTAGAATCAGAAGATTTGGAGGTAACGACTAACGACAGACATGTTTCGATGTGTATGGTGTTTAGAATCTAGGCTTTAGGGTGTTGTCCAAGACAATTGCACACCAAGAGAACAAGGATAGGAGGACAAAGAGAATAGGTCAGCAGTAATCCCTCAGACCCGTGAAACTTTTCTTTCTTTCTCACACTATTGCTCTAATACCATGTAGAAATTCTCTCTGTAAAATATTCTGCCTCATATATTAACATTAACATCTTGTACAAGTATATATAGGGAAGAGGGAAAACTAACAAGTAAACGAATAAAAAATATTCCTACAAATCTGTTCCTAATTTAAAACAATCAATCTATCCTAATTTAGTGCAATTAATCTGAATCAAATCCCTAAAATAAAGGGAAATAATATATATCTTCCAACAAAAGATTGTGAAAAAAATTTAAAAAGTAGCTTTAGGTTTCTCTTGTTTCTCAAGTATTAAGTAATCTTCCCAAAACATGCATCTTAAGCTCATCTACTAATAGTTAGAACCATACATGCGGAGAAGATTATGAGATACAAGATTCTTCATATCAAAGATGAGATGTTTGATCCGGTGATGGGCCCAACAATTTGAGTCTATTCGTTGAATCCTGACGTTAACATTCATGTGATAATAGTTGAAAACTCTGACATAGAAAAAGTTCATCTCTTTGACCTTCTGTATCTGATTGATTTTGCAGTGGCACTTCTGCCGTAAATGATCATCAGGAGCTTTATTTAGAGACGGTCATAAAACAATTTTTCGTCCTAGATGTGAAGTTTTTGTTTATGGTTGATTATTGATGCTTACTTGTGCTTTGAGGATATCATCGTCTTCCAATTGAATGCATTTGAAATTGTTATATATAATATCTATTGTGCTGATTTTTGTAATTTTTAAATGCCTTTTGCTACAAGGAATTCTTATCAACTGAATATTCATCTTATAAGTGTGTATGTGTTATGTTGTGCTGATTTTGCACATTAACGTATGCAGACTCAAAATTTTTGTTCCTATTGCGTTCCTTGCATGGACTATCCTGGTACCTGTTAATTGGACAAATAGCACTTCGAAGTTAACAAAAGAGTTACCAAAAGTAACTTACAGCGACATTGATAGGCTTTCTATTTCAAACATTCCACTCGGATCACATAGGTGAGAATTTCTCTTTTGTTCCACTCTTTTCAATTTTAACCTCACTATTGCTTGACACTTACGAACTGTTTACAGATTTCATCTGCATGGGTAACAATAGCATGCCTCTGTCATGCATTAGAATATTTTTCTAATGAACTTCTTTATTCGTTTCACATTTAGATTTTGATTTCTCTAAATCGGAAATGCTTAGGATTTTTTTTTTTTCTAAATATATGTAAAAATTCAGATATGCCAGGCATGTCCTTAATCATGCATCATTGTTTGTGCCTGGTCTTGCTCAGTTGTGCTGTTGGGACTAAAATTATCCCCCTACATGACTTGTGTATACAACTAAGTGTTATTTCACTTTCGATCGTAGTCCTGTCACATGGCCTTCCCACAAAAAGGCTGCATTTACCCATTGATAGAGTGACTGTTGGTCGTTGATGCTACCATATACATATACTTTTTCTCAAATTTAGAGACATGCTTGTGAGCAATGCAAATATCTGAAGCTTAAACCTTTCTTTTAGGTCCTTTAGAGGCCTAATCTTTGTGCTCGTTTCCATTTACTTAAGAAAAGACTATATGCTCATAAGACTCCATCCTTTCTAGGCTATATCATTGATTTCCATCACAATGCTCTCATCATCCCTCTCTTCACTTGCACATAAGGGTGTCATTCGGTTGTATCAAACTTGGGGAGAATCACTTGGCTGCCAGCCCTAACCCAACTAGAAAATAAAGAATGATGTCAGAAAATGTTCCTCTCAGACTTGCCAAAATAAAATTGTTCATCTCAGCAAAGAGTTTTATAACAGCTCTCCTTTGGGATGGTTGTTTAAGCACAAATCAATTTGTTTGAACTCATTACAGTTTGTTGAACCCTTACGAACAGGAAAACTTATTGATCTGAGTTTGGTCAGTTTGCTAGATTGGAAACTGCCTTCCTTTTTCCAGGTCTGTCATGGGATTATTTATTGTCCCTTATTATATCAATTTGATTTAATGGCAGCAGCACATCCAAAGCGCTCAATCACTCCGGTTTACAACTGATAATAGCAAATTTTGTAGAACACTCCGGTTTACAACTGATAATAGCAAATTTTGTAGAACACACTAAAACATATCTAGGGGGTAATGTAGGAGAAATAGAATATGATTACTAAAATATATACACACACATATATAGATATATATAGAGAGAGAGAGTGAGAGTGAGAAATAAGCTGTTTGAGACATGTAGTATGAGACTATAAATCTCAAGACATTCTTTATATGATTATATTTGTGTATGATTAAATAAGAACTCATTTTCTGACTTTAAGTACTTGTTTAGCCTAACCAACATAATCACTTTTGTACGATAAACTTTGTTCATTTCCGGATTGCAGGTTTTGGACACATATATTGATGGGCCATGTCTGCTTTTTGGACATGCTATGTGTCATAGAAGGAAAAGAAAACTGTTGCATTTGTTATAGAATTATATTGTTGTATGGTCAAAGGAGGACTCTATTTCGGACTGAACACTTCTTTAGCTTAGCCAATATAATTATTCTTGTGCAATAAACTATGCTCATTGTCAGATTGCAGGTTTTGGGCACATATATTGATGGCCTACGTCTTTACTTTTGGGGCATGCTATGTATTACAAAAGGAGTAACTAGGGGGAAACAATTGATAATAGCAAATTTTGTAGAACACACTAAAACATATCTAGGGGGTAATGTAGGAGAAATAGAATATGATTACTAAAATATATACATATACATATACATATATATATATATATATATATATAGAGAGAGAGAGAGAGAGAGAGAGAGAGAGAGATAAGCTGTTTGAGGCATGTAGTTTGAGACTATGAGGTAAATCTCAAGATATTCATTATATGATTATATTGGTGTATGATTAAATAAGAACTCATTTTCTGACTTTAAGTACTTGTTTAGCCTAACCAACATGATCACTTTTGTACAATAAACTGTGTTCATTTCCAGATTGCAGGTTTTGGACACATATATTGATGGGCCATGTCTGCTTTTTGGACATGCTACGTGTTATAAAAGGAAAAGAAAACTGTTGCATTAGTTATAGTATTATATTGTTGTATGGTCAAAGGAGGACTCTATTTCTAATTGAACACTTCTTTAGCTTAGCCAACATAATTATTCTTGTGCAATAAACTATGTTCATTGTCGGGACTGCAGGTTTTGGGCACATATATTGATGATCTATGTCTTTACTTTTTGGGCATGCTATGTATTACAAAAGGAGTACGCAACAGTTGCATCAATGCGGTTGCATTTTCTCGCATCGGAAAGACGCCGTCCAGATCAGTTTACAGTAAGAAGCATTTTGTCTCACCAAGTTATTTTAATTTCATTGAAATTTTGATCTTCATTTATATCTAGTTTGAATATCTTCATTTATTGTAATTTTTTTCTCTGAAATTTGTCTTTCATTTGCTTGAAATCACTTGAGGTTGTGACTAGCCTTGACCTTGCCCATATTTATATCAATCAAACTCAATCACCCCAAAAGAAAACAATCAGCCTCAAGTTTGTATGTTCTAGGGGTGCACAAAAAAACTGTGGAACTGTGAGAACCGAACCGAACCGGAGGCTTCAGTTCCGGTTCTCATGGTTCCTGTTCCTGTCCCGGTTCTGAAAATCTAGAACCGTGAGTTACGGTTCCGGTTCCAGACCTGTGGGAACCGTTGGGAACTGGAACCGTGTGTGTGTGTGTATATATATATATATATATATATATTTGAATATATAAATAATTAACTGTAAAAAGTTTAATGGTGAGTCAGACTTGAATAAATAATACGTCAGAGGCCCATTCCCACATGCTAGATCCACTTTTACCACAAATCACGTGGTCCACTAAAGTGACTAAAGTGTAAAGCACAACAAAGTTAAAAAAAAAAAAAAGTGTAAACCTAAAAGTTCCTAAGTTCTCAATCTCTCATCAGACTCATCTATGTTTGAAGGTCAGAAGCCGCCGCAGCCTCCGAGTTCTCAATCTCTCATCAGACTAATCTCATCTTTGAAGGTCAGAAGCTACCTCTTCCGAGTCCTCTCATCTTCTCCTTCTGTATTGTATAAATTCATAATCACATTCGCCGATTTGCCATCTCAGATCTACACCCACTCTCTCATTAGACTCATCTCATGTTCGAAGGTCAGAAGCCGCCTCCTCCGAGTCCTCTCATCTTCTCCTTCTGTATCGCATAAATTCATAATCGCATTCGTCGATTCGCCATCTCAGATCTACACCCACACACCGTCGTAAATTCATCTTGTTTGCTCACGGCTTCATCATCTTCCTCAGTCAACGGTTTCGTGGAACCGAACCCGGTTCGGTTCCATATACCGGAACCGTAAGGAACCGAACCGTGTGCACCCCTAGTTTGTTCATAGCACCAAATTCTTTGAAGTTTTATCTAATTCTTTGAATTTTTATTCTAAAACCCTACCTTTGTAACTCTTACCATTTCCTACCACATAAGACTTCTCTCCAGCCTATAACAATTTTACTCCTTATTAGAATCCTAGATCTGCAACTTTTCTATAACCAAAGCCCACCATGAAATCAATGGTAGGAGATTAATTATTATTATTTTTTTCAGTTCCATGCGTCAATCAGATAGAAAAATCTTGTCAGAGAAAGTTCACACTTGTCCTAATCATTCAGTCTGGATTTCTAGTTTTTTTTCTCTACATGGCTATTTAAATTCTTGAAGGTTCAGCTTTTCAGAAGTTTCAATTGCTCATTGATTCTCTAAAAATTGGATCACCTCTTCAAGTTTTTTGAGTCCTTTATATCTACTGGCAGTAGGTATATGCATCTTTCCTACAGCCCTCTATCCTTGTATTCCTGGGAAGAGATAATTGAAATGAGGTAAGAGAGGCTTCCCTTGCAATGAAATATCATTTTGCAGACATTTAAAGACATTGAAGGAGTAAATGACTAATTATTTTAATTCTTGAAGGTTCAGTTTTTCAGAAGTTTCAATTGCTCATTGATTCTCTAAAAATTGGATCACGTCTTCAAGTTTTTTGAGCCCTTTATATCTTCTGGCAGTAGGTATATGCATCTCTCCTACAGCCCTCTATCTTTGTATTCGAGGGAAGAGAGAATTGAAATGAGGTGTAAGAGAGGCTTCTCTTGGAATGAAATATCATTTTGAGGACCCTTAAAGACATTGAAGGAGTAATTACTGTGATACATCACCTTCGTTTAGCCATCTAGGTGCCTAAAAAAGTTCACTGATTTGTTGTTTTTAATTTTTCTTTTTATTTTGGATGGATAAGTTTTTTTATGCCTTTGGAATTCTCCTTTAATTTATGGATATCATTAGAACTTTTCTTATTAAAATTTTTTCAGGGAACATGATTGCTAACTTATTTGGGTTTCTATTAATCGTGGACATTTATGAAATTCAGTGCGTTGTACTTTGCAATAAAGAATGCTTGAAATGTTCATCAATGCTCACCTGTTATGGTGTCTTCCAAGTTTGGAGCCTAATATTTTGGGGGAACTTTCGCTTCAATGCTTTCTTACCATACTTGGATAATGGACTTTTATTGTTTACAGGTCCTTGTTAGAAATGTGCCACCAGATCCTTTTTCTAAAAAAGTTCACTGATTTGTTGTTTACAGGTCCTTGTTAGGAATGTGCCACCAGATCCTGATGAATCAGTTAGCGAACTTGTAGAGCACTTTTTCCTGGTCAACCATCCAGACCACTATCTTCTTCATCAGGTTGGATCATACTGAAACTTCATTTATACACGTGTGAAAATCATATGATAAAATTTTATTTAGAAAAAAAAAGGATGTTGTTTTTGTTATATACATGTAATATACGTATTAAATTGTTGTTGTTTTTGACCGGCTCTCTTCTTTTTGTTGTCATGTGAGACTTAATTTGCTTTGGGATTTGAGTGGAAGGGGGGTTTAACATCAAACTGAAGCCTGAAATCTGGCCCAAGATCAGGATTTTGAATTTGTTGGTATAGAGAAAATTTATTGAAATGTTATGATAGGATAATTGTTTGTGAACTTTGTTGGTAATGAAATGGAAGCGTTTTTAATGTGCACTGTGTACTATCAAACCAGAGTATTCCAAAAGGTATGAATCAAGATTAAGGATTATCTAGAAAATTATGAATTCTTCGATATGGAGGGAGATTTGTGCTGCCTGGAGGGGAAGTAATCCTGTTTATGAGTTCCTCATCCTTCGCGGGTCAACATGAGGAATGCAATTTCTTTTACCTTCAGATATTTATGTGTTATTTTTCATCTAAAACTTCCTTTTTTGGGTTCAATAGTAAGATAGATTAGAAAGAAGATTGTTATTGTTCAGAAACAGTGTTAAACAAATTAATACTAAAATTTTAACAGGACGTTATTTAGTTTTTTTCTATTTACTTGAGCAGTAAGTTTCATGAATTGAATGCTTGATTATTATTTCAATTAAATGTTACAAATATTCATTCTTATCTTGAGAATTTTATGCAGTCTGTATACGATGCCAATAAACTAGCGAAATTGGTCAAGGATAAGAAAAGTAAGCAGAATTGGCTTGACTACTACCAACTAAAATATTCTAGAAATCAATCAAAACGGCCCATCATGAAGGTACTGGCATGCAATGTTATATCTTCGAAGGATAGTTTTTCATTTCTTATGCTCAACTAGACTATTTTTCTGTTATGTTATCACTTTTTTTTTTTTTTTGGGTATGATGAGACGATTTTTTTAGAGTCCTGACCTTGCTCTATTGCTCATTTTTTCACTGGCAGACTGGTTTTCTTGGCCTTTGTGGAGATAAAAAGGATGCTATTGATTTTCACATGTCTGAAATCCAGAGACTTACTGAAGAAGTAATTCGTGATCTTTGAATTTCTTCTATATAATTTATATGTTCCTCTTTTGACTTAAGTGCTTGTTTCTTTGTTAGCCCCTGTCCAAATGATAAAATAGGGTATTTTTTTATTTTTATTTTTTTATATTCTTTGAATTTTTTTGTGACTCTAGAGACATTATAATCTCTAAACATGTGAATGCTGAGCCAGTTTGGCGTGGATAAGTTGGATAACATAAGGATAGTTTGGTTGAATAACATATGCTATAATATAAATCAATATGCTCCTCTTCTTTTTTTTTCTTTTTTGCTTTTTGGCTTTTTTGAGGCAGTATGGAATGATGCTTGAAGGAGTAGAAATCCCTTTGGTAAACGATAAAACTTACAGAAAGGAATAACACAACCCCCTCAAATATAAAGATCTAAAGTTTTATGGAACAACCAATAAAGAATTCCACAGATTTATCATCTCTCTTAGATATTTGTCTTCTACTTGGTCATTTGAGGAATCTATGAAAGATTTCAGGAGAAGAAGTGAACTCACAAACCTCCCTTAATATATTTGATAAAACCCCTATTTGCTAATTAAAGAGCTGTCAGAATAGATTGTTTACTTGTGAGAGGATAAGTAAGAAATTACATTTTTTTTTTCTTTGGTATTAAAAATAAATAACTTTACTTTGGTATAAAAAACGAATTAGATCAAAAAGTGCTTTGGCTAAAATAGACTTATCTTGTTGAAAGTAATGATTGGAATTTTGGTACATGTTACCCAAGCTGGCAAAGTCAATTTGCCTGCTATAACCCCTAGGCATCAATATAGCATGAACAGGAATTTTTTAAAGGCCAGACTTGTTCTGGTTTGATAAGATGTTTACATATTAATACACGTGTTTATGTAGTCAATACATCATCAATTGGTAATGTGATTGATAATAATCATTTATACACACCTGCTTTTGCTATTATTGATGATCCAATAACCTCAGACAATATTTAGTTTGTTTTCAACAAGTTAATTACCCTTCCCTTTTGTGAAAGAAAGATTTTTCTTCTCTCACATATAAAGCATCTCAGGGATGCTTTATTCTACGTCTGATTTTAAGCTATTGCAAACTCTCCATATTCTTTACGATAATGGAAGGAGTGTTGGTCCAATGATTTCTCAGCTATATGCATTGGTTTGGTTCAGAGTGAAGTTGAAATTTTGCTGCTTTCAAAATTATGCCATTTTCTATTCTTTTATTTTTCTGCTCTGCAATTTTCTTGTGTTTGAAGTATGTTGAATGGGGGATAAATTCATGTTCAGATAGCTGCTGAACGAAAAGTGGTTACGAACAATCCCAAGTCTATCATGCCAGCAGCATTCGTCTCCTTCAAAACTCGGTGGGGTGCTGCTGTCTGTGCACAAACCCAACAATCCAGAAATCCAACTCTGTGGTTAACCGAGTGGGCTCCAGAGCCACGCGATGTGTTTTGGAACAACCTGGCAATTCCTTACGTTTCACTCACAATTAGGAAGCTTATAATTGCTGTTGCCTTCTTCTTCTTGACTTTCTTTTTCATGATTCCAATCACATTTGTGCAATCCCTTGCAAACATTGAGGGTATTGAGAAAGCAGCACCATTCCTGAAGCCAATCATTGAAATGTGAGTTCCCTCTCATTTACAGACTTATTCTTTGTTATCATCCTCCTGATGTTCATTTATAACATATGTTTCTTGAACATTGGATCAGTTATCTTGTTGTTTTGTTTATTCTTAGTTTTTATCCTCTTGAAGTTAATTAATTGAATCTGTTTTTTCATTTATTTATTATTATTACAGTGTTATTGCACATTTAAAACTATTAACTTTTTGTTCTTTGCTTAAATCTTGTTGTGTTTCTAATTTTTTTTATGCACGTTCACTATTTATAGTAGTAATTATGTTGTATTTCTAAAGCTCGGTATTAAAGGCCCTTGGCCTTCTTGTAGCAAACCACTTGATAAGTTCCAAAATGTTTCTTGCTCAAAGAAAAATATGGAAGAAAACTATGTGCCATAAAATTATTAGACGTTTATTGATAGTTTACACATTAAGAGATTTGTATTAATCTTTATGGAAGTGGTGCAGCAAGTAAATTCAACATTGCTGAACTTTTCTTATAATGGCTAGTATTATTGCCAATGATGTTTGCTTGATTTCTGATTTAAACCTATCTGAATTGTATAACTTGATACTGAATTTCGTCTGCCGGCTTTATGTAGTTTCTTACTTAATGCTTAAATTTGGAAAATTTTAAATAATGGTGTATCGTTTATCTAAATTTGGGTATTAAGGTGGAACTAGTCTACTTGAAGTAGGTTTTAAGTTTGAACTCTGTCCTTCTGATTTGAACCTTAAAAAGGTGCTACTGTTGTTGTTGTTGTTTTTTTTTTAAATGAGTTCAATGCCCTGCTGAGATGTTATGAGCTGAACTGAGGGTTATCTAAGACTAAGTCGGTATCGTGAGTTAATGATCAATGAGTACAAGTTATTGCCATAATCAGTCATTGAGTATCTAACTACCTATTGTTGCCTACTTCTTTCTAATAATAACCTATATTTATGCAGAAAGTTCATCAAGTCATTCATTCAAGGTTTTCTACCCGGGATTGCTTTGAAGCTTTTTCTCATTTTTCTGCCAGCAATATTGATGCTGATGTCTAAATTTGAAGGGTTTATAGCCATATCAGCTTTAGAAAGGAGATCTGCATCTAGATATTATCTCTTCAACTTTGTGAACGTATTCCTGGGAAGCATAATCGCTGGATCGGCATTTGAACAGCTAAATACTTTTATGAAACAGTCGGCTAACGAGTATGTTATCTCATTAAGCACCATAATTTTCTTTGTAGGGTATCTCCTCTACTTTCTGGCAAATCAATGATTACATTTTGAGTGCATGCATGTGGGGTGATAGGAGGTGTGCTCGCAATTGTCCGATATCTTCTCTTGTTTTGGAAAAGCATTAATATCTGAATGGGCTGTTGGTGACTCACATTATAAAGTCAGCAATAAATTATGTTTATCCTTGTTTGATTGTTACGGAAACTCATTATCAATTTCTCCTTTTTAATCTTAAATTTTGCTTGTTCATGTGCCTTTTTTTCTTGTTGGTTAACACGGGGTGCTTTATGGACTGAGCTTCAAGAGCAACAAAGACTTGAAAGTAGATCAAGTAGCCTTCATTTAAGCATATTTTTGTGGCTTTCGGTCCTTCCCTTTTTATACGTAGATTTTGGGTAAAATGTAATTTGTAAAAAAATTCCCCGAACTTTCTGAAAAACTTGCAATTACTACCGTACCATTTATTTGCCGTTAAAAAATTAGTGGAAACTTAGTCACATGTTTCAAAATGTAATGGCGATAACGCTCACCTTCTCTTCTTTGAATAAAACCCATTTCAGCTCCCCTCCTCTCCAATCCCCAAATCCTTAACCGTCGGTCCGTCGCTCCACCGTGTGGTTATAATACCAACTACATAGACATGCCTTTTATTGTTACACTTACTATCATCTCTTTAAATTTCACCCTCTTTCTTCTTTTTCTCTAAATGCCACTTTCTCGCTCAAAAAAATCCATCTCCTTGCTTAAACCACACAAAAAAATAAAAAAACAAAAAACAACTTCTTCACAACCACCATCACTGTCAATATCGTTTTCTTGAGACCCATCTCAAGAGCCCACTGCTGTATTCTTCCTACTATCCATATTCAATCGCAGCCACATTAATGTCTCAGTATAATTAGTTCAACTCCACCACCAGGCCACTATTTGCATCTAACAAATTGAGGTGAGATGAAGGCATGAATCTACTATTTAAATTGAATACTGAACTTGTTGGCCCTGTTTGGGTGAGAAGATGTAATTAGCAGAGATAACAGTTTAAAGTTGTGTTTGGCAGCATTTTTAATGGTTTTTCTTCAGAATGGGTTATGTCTTTTTTTACTTTTAAAAAAAAGTGGGAAAAAGGAGGAAAAAAAGGTATGAATACAGTATAATTTTATTGGGCGGTTAGTAATGGGTATTTTGATAATTTCATGTTGTTCTTAATGGCAACCGAATGTCATGGACTAATTAGGGAGTTTTTTGCTATGTTATGTGCAAAATTAGTTCAAGTTTTTTATTTTTATTTTTACATTTTACCCTATTAGATTTTAGGGTTCTTGTGCATTATTTCAGAGGATATATTAACATAATGAAAATCAAACCTTATTCCACACTTTTAATTTCTGCAATATGGAGTTCTTATGAAATTGTAAAATTACTGACCTACGTATCTTTGTTTGCTCACATGCGCTATACCCTTGACCGAAGTTATGGCTTTATTTAGATTGTTCTATGGAACAAAATCTTGTCCTATGGTGCTCTGTTGGTGTGCTCTTCATCTGCTGTGTATAAAAAATAGGTCCTCTGCAGTTATCTTGTGTGATTTGTTCGTTTTTGTGGATGGCATGTCCCTCTGTAGACTTACCATCAGCATACCTTCCTTTACGTCTTAAACTTATTTTCCACCAGCAAGATTCAGAAATAGATCTCTCTTGTTTGTCGTGTATTAGTGCTTCTTCTATAAGCTGATTCTAGACTGCTGTCTAATTGTACTGAAACTTAAATTTTGCAGTTATAATTGTATATTTCACTAACTTCAGTGCTTGTAATCTCGGGTCTTCGTTAAGTTTGATAATCTGTATACTAAGGGTTAGTGGTTATTTTGCAGTATTCCTAAAACAATTGGTGTAGCAATTCCAATGAAAGCAACTTTCTTTATCACTTATATAATGGTTGATGGATGGGCTGGTATTGCTGGTGAGATATTAAGATTGAAACCGCTGATAATCTTCCACTTGAAGAATTTTTTCTTGGTGAAGACTGAAAAGGATAGGGAGGAAGCAATGGATCCAGGAAGTCTTGGTTTTAACACTGGCGAACCTCAAATACAATTTTATTTCTTACTAGGCCTTGTTTATGCTGTGGTGACTCCAGTACTACTTCCTTTCATAATAGTTTTCTTTGGCCTGGCCTATGTTGTATTTCGTCATCAGGTAATAAATTTTCACTATGATCTTATGCATTTAATTATGTGGACATGTGTTAAGAACCTAACTATTAATCCATCCGCCTCGTGTCTAGATACTTTGCTTAAGCAGCCATGTTTAAGTTGTGTTCGAATACTAGAAACCATAGGTTCCTTTGTAATAAAAAAATATATATAATATATATGAGATAGATCTATCCAAAACATCCATGTCTGGTAAATACACTGTACCCCATGCTGGAATTTTTTTTGTTAACTTGAATATCCTGGTTCCTGTGTCGAGTAACATTGAGAGTATTGGCTAAACTCTACAACTGAATATGATTTTCCCTTTTTAGGAAAGTTGCTTGTTTATAGGAACATGTTTTCCCTTTTCTTTTTTCAAACTCTAATTTACCAACCTTAGCGAATGCCCCATGCTGTGTTGGAATAGAATATGCTTAGTAACAACCTCTTTTTGGCCTAGGTGATGAACTCTCCTCCCCAAAGGGGATGTGAGTGGTTCGAGCCCTACATGGGGCAGTGTGGTGTTTGTACGTGTGTTGATTACCTACCAAGAAAAAAAAAGATTTGACCAAGATTTATCTAAATTTTAGGCAGAAATTGACAGGAAAGTATCTGAAGCAGACATGAAAGATAGGCAGTTCAATTATTCTGCTATCTTTAGTTATTTTTGTTGGTATGGGAACTGGTCAATTGTTGGCATGCAAATCATTCTTGATGAAAATATGTCTCCATGTTCATAATTTTCTCATAAGCTGATTTTGGCTCTACATAATGGCAGAAAAAATTTACTTTTAAGAAATTGTCTTCTTCCTATATCAATTTGGAGTGAAATTTGTCCTAAATTTAAGGTGTGCTTTTGCCATTTGTTTCGAGTGTGGAGCATGGTGGTACATGTATTACTGTAATGTCTTCTATCAGGGAGTTATTTATTACATCAAATTTTAATTTTAATAAACATATTCCCAAACTTGTGTTCCACAATATATCTGGTTTTGCATTAAGCAGTATCTTATGGTCTCAATTCTAGTTACTTATTCAATGTGGGTAGACCATGTCACATTTGTTTTATTAAGAAAATGATGATATCATTCTTGTTGCATATGGATTCACGAGAGAAATAGGCCTTCCTCTTATACCATCTTTCATGAATTTATAGCAGTATCAACACATGTATGTTTACAGAGGAGTACCATCATATTTAGGCCAATTGATTTAAGCATCGTGGTCTCTTTTGGTTGCAATATATGGTTTGCTGAAAGTATTTGGTGTATGTTAATGTAGGTTATAAATGTCTACCACCAAGAGTATGAAAGTGCTGCAGCATTCTGGCCTGATGTCCATGGACGTGTAATAGCTGCATTGGTTATTTCACAGCTGCTTTTAATGGGATTGGTGAGCACGAAAGAAGCTGCTCAGTCGGCACCATTTCTCATTGCACTTCCAGTACTGACAATATGGTTCCATATATACTGCAAGGGCCGTTATGAATCCGCATTTGTCAAATACCCTTTACAGGTCTGTAGGGATCTTGATTTGCAAAATGGATGTTTTGTTGTTGCATTATATATAAGAGTATTAGTGAAAAAAAAAAAATTGATGATAAATGAAATATAGCTTTCTATCTGTAATGCCACAGATTCTATGTTATTTCTGGCATTACACGTTGAAGACACATCTGCAAAGATCATTGATGCATTTGTTATATATCTGTTCACAATATACAAGTATGTTTTGCTATCACAATAGTACTTCAGTATATAACATAAACAAACTGATGATGGTTGATTCAGTGTAGACATATTAGGGAAAAAGGAAATGGAGAGATTTGATTGATCATTAGAAGATGTTTTCTATCGTATTTGTGGTTAAGAATGTGTTTTGACAACAATTACAGGAAGATGCATGTGGTGCGAGCATCTTAATGGGTAGTTCTAATGGCTGTAAAGGGAATTTTAGTGTGAATGGCATCTTCGAATCCCTTACATTGTGCTGCTCTAAATTATGACTACTCTTTAATCTAATTGTCTTCATTCCTTTGTGTGTGGTGGATTCTAGGAAGCGATGATGAAAGATACTCTGGAGCGTGCAAGGGAACCAAATTTGAATTTGAAAGGCTACCTTCAAAATGCTTATGTTCATCCCGTTTTCAAAGCCGACAGTGATGATGAAGATGAGGAATTTAATGCCACGTGGGAGAAGGAGAACGTGCTGGTCCCCACGAAACGTCAGTCACGAAGAAACACCCCAGTGCCAAGCAAAATCAGTGGTTCCTCCTCACCTTCGATTCCCGACATTGTTAAGGAGCAGCCATAGGGTGCACGTGTTTGTACATTTGGCCCCTCACATTGTTGAAGCAGTTGAGGAGGTGCAACTGTAAATTAGATGAGAGATATAGGTCGATTGGTTGTATAGGGAGTGACAAATTAGTGCAGCCTCTGGTTTTCTGAACTCCGGGACAGCGACTTTGAACTGTATTGCAGACAGGCCGAAGTATAGAATGACAAGAGGCTGCTACGAGGCTTGTATTTTGTGAAATTTCTTATATGAAAATCTTTGATGATTGTACATTAACAAAGATAAATGTGACCACCGTGTTCTTGATCTACTGAAGTCGAATGTTGTTCTTGCTATTTTTCTCTCTGTTCTCGCCGTTGTGTTAACTTGTGGGCTGTGTTTGCTTTTAGTACTTCGGCTTCCTTAAAGTTCTTCTTTTCTGAACAACACTTGCCTCCAATATTCGGAAAAAGAGCAGTGATAGACATCTCGAAATTACGAAAAAAAAACAAACCAGGTCGTTTGCAAACAATTCCAGTTCTAACTATCTTTAACTATTTAAGGGTCCAACCGTCAAGTAATTTGTCTTTGATCAAACACGTGGAGTTTCTCTCTCTAAATTAACTCTCTGAATCAAGGTGGAGATTGAAGACCAGTTGTGTGGGATTTGCAGATCACCGCCCAGACCACCGTCTTCTTCCACAATCTATGGTTCGACTCTCTTCACCTCCGATAAACAGCCTGAAGATATAAACTCTCTACTATTCCAGTTCATAATTTTGCCACCGAAAAACCTTGGTTGTGCTTCTAAAATTGTTCCAACTTATGATCTTCTAGCACTTGCAAACTTTTCGGTGAGGTGCACTGATAAAAAATACTATTTAAACAATTTAATCTAATAATGTTTCAGTTGTTTTTTATGTTTTTCTTGCTCTCTCTCTCTATATAAACTTCATAAATAGCAATGGCAATTTCAAATCCTTATACGTGTGTTACATGATATGATGGAAAAATATTTCAGTTGGTGGTAGTGGAGTACACCATAAAGTGGATTATCTTTTTATTTTTAATATATTTTTAAATATTAAAAAAAATAAAACATAATATATATTAATATGATAATACATCGTGTATTAGTAAAAGTTCTTCATTGATTCGTTAAAGATTAAGTGGCCGTTAGGGTGCCACGTTATCGAAAGTCATATAAAGTTGTTGGTGACATGGCACAATAACAATGGTCATGTCATCGACAACTCTATTGATGACTCAGCACGATAACAGTGGTCAAAAAGAGTCCTCTCCCTATCCTCCAACTGTACATTAATGAAAGTAGGTCATGAAGAAAAGGCAAGCAACAACACTTGCTTTAGCTTCTTTCTCATTTTGTTTTGTGTTTTATTACCAAAGGGGGAAAACAGCCTCTCAAAAAAGATTCCTTTTTCTAGTGTGGTGAAAGAAATAAAAGCTTGAAAGGATCTGACAAAAGATAAGGAAAAGAAAATTACATGTAGTATTTGTTTTTGTATTTATTTATTTTTTTAACTCGAATTAAAATATTATATATATTTATTTTGACAAAAAATACACTCTCACATTTTTACTTTATTTTTTTATTCTTTAACTTCCTCCAACATTATAAAGTGAAGAAATATTACCCTCCTTAATTTGTTAAGTTGGTTGAACTCTTTATCAAATGAATTTGAACATGCCAAGATCATGATAGTTGCATGTTGGATTTGCCAAAAACCTATATCGATATATTCTATATAGTTTTTCAAAAAAGAAAATCATCACCATTTGGCTTTGTCTTATTCCTTTTTTGTACACTTTATTGAGACACGGTAGGTAAGACTTATTCTCAAATCTCACATTGTCCACAACACACTAGTGGGGCTATATATAATATATACACACACTATATTTAGTTATCATATTAAGGCAACCATTTGTGAATCTCGTGTCGACACGTTCATTCAATCCTCAATTTTTGGAAAAGTTTATCAATCCCTACCAACTTAAAAGTTAAAACAATGATTGAGGCCCATCATTTAATCACCAAATATATATAATTTTCAATTCGGATCTTTGTAGTTTGTACCTGGGCTAGTAATAATTTAGTATACTTTTTTTTTTTCCCCTCATGTCATCATATGTGTTTCAATCGACACCACAATAATTTTGAATCAATAGTACAATTTATTTTATAATTTTAATTCGTTAATGTAACGGATGATTAAAAAAAAAATTATACCCAATTGAAATACAATAACTATGCAAAATTGTTGAATTCTGCATTTAATGGTACTGCACGTTTGTGAATTTTGAAAACACATCACGCAAAAACAAGTAGGACACGGCTAGAAGTATTTTAAAATTTGACTGTTTTATTTTTTAGTCAGACAAGGCTGAGATGTTGCAAAGATACTTCTAGGGCGTGTTGGGGTGCATTTGTAATTAATTTTTTTTTAAATATTTTAGAAAATTAGGATTCAATTCAATTAAAAATATATTATGAGTTAATTAAAAAATTAATATAAAATTTTTAAAAACAACAAATATCTAACTTTTAAACTCCAAATTAGTGATTTAGGAAAACAAAAAAAACTCCAAATTAGTAATTTCTTTAGTAATAATAAGAATAAAATGAGCAAACATTATTATTTATATAATAATATATTATATTATTACTTTTGACATTTTCATACCATATTTGTGTCCTATTTTTTTTTTGAAATTTTTTACATCATGGTGTGCATATCATATCGTAGTGTATTTTGTTTTCGTATATTTGCTTCCGAGCTCATTATTAAAGTGAGTTAGATTTTATAAGGATAAATTACAATGAGTCCAATTATCTTCTTTGGAATTTGGACAAATTACACACGGGTAGAAGAACGTTCATAATTTATTATTTTGAACTCTTCTAAAACTGTTTGTTTAGAGTTTGGACAAATTACACACGAGTAAATCGTTCATCGTTTACTACTTAGACCGCTTATAAATTCGTTTGTCAGGGACCAAAAAATGTCTGAGTGTGAAAAGTCAATCATCATTTTGTAAAATTTGGTCAATAGGTCTACAGGAAAGAGCATTTTATAGCTGGGAATGACAAAATTGTCATTTTATAAAATTCAGCCAATAGGTCTGTAGGATATAAAATACTAAATTCTTATTAAATATATGCACCAAATTCAAGAGAGGTCAAAATAATAAATGGCAAAGATAGTATAATTTACTCATTTTATAATTTGCCAGTTTTGTCATGGCCCTTTTTCAATTCCTGGGTGGTAATTCGAAAGTTAAAGGATGCACGTGACATTGTTTGAATAAGTCCAAACACTCCCCCCAAACTTTTGAATAAGTCCAAACACTCCCCCCAAACTTTTGCACCAATTTCTTTGTTCAAAATCATTTATAAATAAATAAATGCCTATATCTATAAACACGTGGTATTAGAAAAATAAACACGTGGAGCATTTCTTTTGGATAAGGTACTCATATATCTATATATATATATATATATATATATTTCGGAGGTTATCATATCAAAGTGTCATATTTAAGTAATAAACTACAGAATATAGATTTAAAAACTATATAAATTTTTACATTAAAATAGAAGTGATGTCCAAATACTGTCATGTTATTGTTATTTGCAATACAGAGGTTATGTCTGACATTTTTTACTTTTTAAAGCATTTCACGTTAGAAGTATTCAAAGTAGTAATTTAAAGCATGAGATGATTTATTTTGGTCAAGGTCGATCCTCAGGTTCTGTATATTTTTCTTAGGGTACTAATGTTATGTTTGGTGTATAGATATTGAATAAAATGAAATGTCTGTTTTAATTATTCTTTTGTTTGATATGTAATTTAAAGTGGAAATGACTAATTCATTGCATAACTAAATTTATGGAATATTCCAATCCCAAGTAATTTTTTTTCAAAAAATCAACTTTCCAAAAAATCATCATATTCCACGTCCAAAAATCACCACGGCCTTCTACCACAACCATTTTTGCCTTTCACTACCACTTACTTCCACCACTACCATTGCCTTCTACCACCACCACCACCGTCACCGACATTCACCATCGCCCACCATTTTCCACTACCACCACTGCTACCACTTTTCACCACCGACACCGTCTTCCTTTGCCGCAACCACTACCACTACCACTACCGCTATCGCCATCGCCTTTCATCACTACCACTACCACCGCTATCGCCATCGCCATCGCCATCGCCATCGCCATCGCCACCACCACCGTCACCGCCTTCCACCACCGGCCACCTTCCACCACCGCCAACTCCACTGCCTTCCACCACTACCACACAACTACCACCGCTTTCCACCACCATTATTGCCACTTTCCACCAACACCGTCGCTGCCGTCTTCCCCATTGTCACCACCGCCGCCTTCCAACACTACCACCTACAGCACTACCGCTTTCCACCTCTACCACCCTTTATTTTTAAAAATTATAGAAGAATGTCATCTTATTAATTTAATTTATTTATTACTAAGAGGGATATTTTAGAGAACTCAATTTGAAATTTATTCCATTTTAAATTTTATCATCCCATTATTACATATTTCATATTTATAACCAAACAATACAATGGAAATGATCGTTCCAATATTCCATTCCCATTTTCACTTGCATTCTATTATATTCATTCACACCAAATGTAGCATATGAGATTTAGGTTAATAATATTTTATATTTAGTGAGAGTTTAAGGGAATATGACTATAAAATATACCGAACATGTTTGATTTCCAAATAAATGAGTAATAAATTCAGTTGTTCATGGGTTCAGTGACATGTTTTGTCATTTATGAACATATATATAAAAAAATAAACATCAACAAATGTGAAAATCCATTGATACATTCTTTAAAGAAAAAAAAAAAAGAGCAAATTTTAATATAAAAACCCACCTTACAATTTTTACTATTAAAATGTTTTCAAACTTTGGTTCCTCCTGAGTTGATTATGAGATGAAAGACCGATAATGTGATGATAAATTTGTTGATACGAAAACAATTTTAAATCTTGTTCGGTGTTAAATGATTTATATATTTCTTATTACTAACATTTTTTACTCATTTTAAGTAATATTTAATTTGGGAAAAAAAAACTAACTAATCAATTTAACAAAGTGGAATTACTAACAACTGTGTGAGTCCCACCATCCTGTGGTAGTTGGGTTCACACGGGCTGTGAGTACTTCCGTCTCGTTGAATCGATTTATTTTAGAGTGGTAGTGAGGTCCTACTTATCACATGGTGAGATTCACACTACCTTTGAATACTTACCCAATTACCTGATAACGCTCTTTAATTTTAAGTG